CAAAATACAAACTTGCAAAAGCTACGATGTTCACAATTTTAAATTGTCTGAAAAATACGTTATGCAAAAGGAACAGTATACTTTGTGACAGACTTAAAGCACAGGTTAACTTAACAAAGACCCTTTATGGTAGTGCTTACGCTCCCCTTCAGGTATATACAGAATACACTCAGTGGGATAGGATGAATTGTTTAGCACCTCTAAGGATTATGTTATAATGCTGAACAAACCCAGCTTAGGGCTGATAGACACAATATTTTCCAATGGTCAGCACAGTTCCCATTAGAAAAAGCAGGGTTAACTCTCACACCTCTTGTGACCATCCTCGTGGAAACTACAATAGGTAATGAGAAATGTCAAGTCCCAAGATCAATGAAATTTCAGGCTCTAGGGACAAAACAGGAATAGCATTGATCCTTTTAAAGAACACCAGTCAGAGGGTGAATGTAATATATTGCACAGAGAGGCTCAAGAGGATAAGCGGCCAAGTCCAACATACTTACCTGACAAAAAATTCAATCAGCTTTTAGCACAAGCTGCCTACCCTTCCATTCTTTCATGCAGGAGTCTGATTCCAATTAAAGTGTGCAAATTAATTTTTATCACTTCCAAATTAGTTTCTGAATTTGTGTCTGTTTCAGATGAAAGCATCTGTCCCTCACTTTTCTGCAATTCTATCATCCACTTTGGTATCTGTTCAAAGACTCAGAGATAATTCTCATTTTCAAAGTCACTTGTTTGAAAGAGACATTCAATAAAGCAATCATAAAATATAAAAATAAAACAACTATAAAGATACATGTTGAACTCCAGGGCATATCATGTACTCTCTGCTCATTTTTGTGATGACTAATACAGTTGATATGCGAGAAGAAATTTGTATACAAATTAGGGCTCAGCTAAAACAAGTCCCTATATATAATAAGAGAAAAAAAATCAGAACACAAATTGTCAAACTCCATCACAATAATTTTTCTATTCAATCTTTTACAACTGCAAAGGTTTACATTTGCCAGATCACTTCAAAGAATTAAAATAAGCAAACTATGCCCTTTGCATGTGCCGTGTCTTCCTAAGAGAAAACAGATTCCTTTCACTGTTCTCTCAGCTGTAGCAGATTTATAGAATGTGGTCATCAGCTTAATAAGGTGCAGACTCAGATTACCTACTTCAGATGGCAAATTTTGGCTTACAAAGTAGGTATCTGACACTGGCAAGATGACCTAAGTTTCATTCAGTTCAGTATTTATCCCAAAGATGGTACTTATCTAAGCAAGGGTACAGATATAAGGGAAGGCTCAAACATACATAAAAACCTGCATTCAACTGTCCTTCATCCTAAGGGAAATCATGTCGTATCTCTCATTTTCCAGAGGCATCCCCAGGCAGCAGCCTCTAGTCTAAGCTGAAAAAGGACATTTTCTGTCACCACTATTGAAGTTTAGCCATTGCACAGACATGAAACCAGTTTTTGTTGGATCAGAGAAAGTACAAGTAGGGAGAAGATTTGCCCTACCTGCTGAAGGTATGCAGTTTTGGTTCACTGTTTATTTCTATCCAATCATTATGTTGCATAAGATCCATGAACAAGAGCAGAGAAAAGAATTTTGCTTTCCACCAAAGCTGGAGGCTCACAGAGGGCCTCTCCCACTTTAATTTATAGCCTCATAGTCAGCATATGCTTTGTGAATATGGGAATGCGGGTTTGAATTTCCCCAGTCTCTGGAGGCCAAGAGCTTAGTCTCCCACTTGCTGGGCAAACATTGTAACCGGGTTTTTTACAAGCTAGGTATGAAAACTACTCCATGGAAAACTTTGTATTTAAAATCTGAAGTTTTCTTCAGTCTTCTCACAGCAACTGTGAGAAATGTCAAGAAATTGTGACAAGTACAAAATTAACCAGAAACTCCTTTTTGATACTTAATGTTGAATAAAAGTGATAACTTAATAAACACATGGGTTGGAAAAAAATATTTTAAAATTATAAAACGAAGCTCACTATGCTCTCACAGGCAAGTTTTCAACTACTGAACTGGAGCAGCCACTTGCAAGAGTCTTATGCAAGACAATTTTCCTGTGTTCTCCTCTTTGAACACGAGCTGGTTCTGTATTTCCCACAGACACAACTGAGGTCACCCTCTGAGCACGTGCCCGCACAGATATCTCAGCAGAAGGCTCTACACAAGCCTGACAGGTTAGTTTACTGACATACATGGTGTTTAGTAAAGATTTTATCTAATTCATCGGTTCTGGAATATGGAATTTTAGTAGAATCAATAAAGTTTGTTCTGACAATCTTTTCCCCTAGAGTATTTCACATTAAATGATTGTGATTGCTATGTTTTCTAATGAAATGGTATCTAGATTTTTCTATACATATGTTAAATTACATTAACTTTTTAGGACTGGGGTCTTGCTTTCCCGTCACCCCCACCCCCCATCCCCTCCCCTTTAACATTTTCCGAAACAACTAAAGTTCCTATTAGTAATTGGATGCATTGAAGCTGAAATTGATAATTAACTGTCTTTCATCTTAAAAGATCATTATAAAGTCAAGAATCTAACCCAGATAATTACTACACCTGACATTTTTCTTTTAATTCCTCACCTTCCTACAGTCTGTGGAATAAAATACCTTATTTGTGTCTCCAGATGACAGCTTTTAAAAAAACTAATCCCCCCTTTTTCCCCTGAAAATATCATCTACATCTTTCTGGAAATTCATTGTAAAGATGTTAACTAATTGGCTTTGACCTACAGTGAACGTCTCACTTTCATTTTTTCTACAAGGTAAATCCTAATCTTCTACCAGTAAGTATAGAAGAGTAGATGAGGAAAAACTTCTTTACTGCTTCCGTAGCTTTAACTATGTAAAACTTCAAACTTATATTTATAAGGATTATTGTGAATGCTTCACGCCTGAAAATTTGTATATAGGGAGTCAGTCATACAACAATTACGTCTGTTAATGGTAGGGAACAGAATCTAGTAGTCATTACTTTACATTTACATTACAGCAGAAAGATTTAGTAATTGTAGAAGTTTTAAAAGGCAGTTGGTCCTCCAGGTATATCATTACTCATGTGGTCTACCCTTCACGATGTATGTTCATGAGAAGTCAGAGTAGCTGTTAATAAGTATATGTTTACAATACATGAAGTTCTGGTTATAGTACAGTGCTAGTACAAAATTAGCATATCCATGGTAACTTTAACCCAATGAGTTATTGAGATTATTGAGATAGCAATCATAGTGACGCTGTTACTCTTCCTCAACATGAGTCTTCAACATGTCTTCTACATGAGTACTAAGAAATCTCATCACTGAATTTCGAAGCTACCACAGTGAATATTTATCTTCCTGGGTTCTGCTACCTGTGCCTGCAGATTACATTTGCGTTGACATGACTATCTGCAGCACAGTCTCCCATTAATATGACTAAAAGGCCTTTTCTTCAGCAAAACAGTGCCTTATCCATGCAGAGGCAGAAAGAGAGAGCAAATCATACAATTTGGTTTTGCTTTTCGTTGATTTCTGTCTGCCGACTGATATCCTTTCTTTTCATAAAATTAAAGATCTCCAAAGCAGACACTTTCAGTCACATAGGTAAGGTATTAAACCTGAGATTACAAAAAGTACCACTTTCTTGCATTCAGATGATACACTCATGATAACAGAAAAGTATCAGAACTAAAATAAACCTATCTACAAAAGAATTGGAGCAGTTTGTATCAGCTAATAAGGAGATGCTAATGGTAAGCCTGTCCAAGCCCATATAATCAGAGGAAAGAAAGGAAAAGTCTTACATTGTTTTCTTTAATGAAAGGAGCAAGCTTTTATTTTTTTCTGACTCTTAGCAGAGAAATTACTAATACTTGATATGAATTGCACAGGCATTCAAAGAAGTCAAATGGCAATCAGCTAAACAGAGTGCCCTGTCCTGAAATTCCTTTTCAGATTGAATTTCTATCTCTGACAATTAAGTGCTAAAAAAGCCCTGGAATATACACAAAATTTAGATAAATTTGTTATGGGAAGACAATTTGGTTTTTCCCTCAACCTCTCTGTTATAAAAGGAAAAGTAAGTCAGGTGAGAAAGTGAAACTTTTATCTGTCTCCACTTTCTCTGCTTACAGACAACTGGAAGAAAATGAAAACACAGTAAAAAAATCGTCTGCTTGAAAATTAACAAAATATCTACTTCATAACAAATAAAATATTTTTCTTCCAGATACTCAGTTGAAGAAATACTTTCACTTAGATGTCTGTAACTGACAGGTCTACAACTGCTTCCAGTCAGCACTCGAATCAGAGTTCAAAACTGATAGTGAAGGATTCTTCTATGTTTATCTAAAGAGGCGATATCCTTGTGTTGAAAAATAAGAATCAGAATTGTGAAACTGCTTTAAATGAAATGTTTTTAGTGTTGTACAAAAAACCTTTAGCATACGGAAAAAAGTTGTTCTTGTCTTTAGCAGTGGTCACATTTCTGGCTTGGGTGAAGGGACCTTGTAAATTAGTAGTGCACTTTAAGTGCCTTTTTATATAAATTGATATCATTATTATTGTGTCCCCTTCACTCTGCAAAGCACTGACAGTTAGTACCCTGCAAATGTAATGTAAACTCTCTCTGACATTTTATCTTTTTCTATTTTTATTCAGTCACATTGCTTCTCCAAAGGTTTGCTTGCTATAGAAAGACCTTTCTCAAAGACACTCATTTAATTCCATGGCATGTAAGACATTCCTTTTTTGAAAAGGCAAGCAGCTGATATAGCATGCTGTAGTACAAAAGGAGTAAGTTAATATGCCAAAAAAATATTTCTGGGGAAAGGAAAGTCAAAATATAGTGATATATGTCCTGTCACTTAAAGGCCATAACCACCTTGTTCTCGTTTATGATGACATGATGCTATAAGTGATAAAGGCAATTATGAATTTAAGAATTACTCCCATGCTATTACCCGTTACCACGCACAGACGGTTTAACATTTTTTTGGCTAGTACTCAATGAGTTGCTTAGCATGTGGTGCTCTTCTTACACCAACTTTCAGCTTGCAGGCGAAGTAATCGGTATATTTGGTAATACCTTCTGCAGCTGACAGAAGGAACACTAAAAATGAATAGGTGTTACAAAGGGCCTTTCGGGAAGGTGTTTTTTTACAGGATACTTACTGCTATTTGGGTTGTCACCTATAATATGATGCCGGCCACTCCAGTACCAAAGCAGCAACGTAGCGTCGCGAGACCCAGAAACGATGTAGCAATCACCACCAATATAGGACTCTGATCTGGCAAGGCAAGTCACGACATCCCAGTGGCCAAATACAATCTGAGTTAATTTTCCTGGTGGGAGTCCAAAGTGATACAAATTGAGGGTTTTTAACTACTTGCAGCATTTAGAAATTATTAAGTAAATTGTTAACAAATATTCAGTTCAAATGTAGTTTCTGCCCCATGTCGCTTTATTGGAGTTCACTACATGCTACAACAAGATTAAAAAATCACAAAGATAAAACTTTTTTTTCCTCTTTTATGTTCCTATTGAGGGCTGTGCTCTGTGTCAATCTATAACCTAACCCTAACCCTTATCTCTGAAAATCAAGTCAGTGCTGCAGTCACTGAATATTAAGTGGAGTTACTGCTCCATCAGTATTTAAGCAATGGCGTTAGAACACTATTTGTGAATTTAATGAATGATATGCATAAGACAGCACATGAACTTTTTTATAATGGTGTTACATTATTATGTTAAAAATGTATATTTGTTCTATGTTAATGTCAAACTAAGGTTTACTGTGAGCATCACCTCCTTCTTTCTATTATTGCAATCAGCTTTTAGCAAGAAACTGAATGATACTAGGCTAAGCAATCAGACAAAGAAGCAAGTTACTGGTTCCCAGTAGCAGGCTATGCAACCTAATGATTTACTACATGAAATAGAGATACTCTCCCAACAAAAATTTTGGTCGATTCTTTCAGTACAGTTGATTCCCTGAATATACTTATGGTTTTCAAAACTCTCCCCTAACATAATTTTTTTACATTATTTATCTTCCAGAACAAACAAACGAAAAAAGGCATCTTAAAGCTATTATCTTCAAGCAATAATGAAGGATTCTATAAATTTCCCTTTATCATTTATTGAGAGGTAAGCACAGGCAATAGATACAGTAGTATTAAGTCCACTGTGTGACCTAAGAAAAAGCAGGTAGTTTTATTTAGGGTCACCTGTTTCTGTAGAATAAACTCGAAAGCTCTTGTCCCAGAAACCACAGATAAGAATGTAGCGATTATCTGCTGTGACCACGAAGCAATGTGCATTGATCTGGATGCTCTGATCCACAAGGTCTGTGATCTGCCGTTTGTTCACACCAGAGTTATTGGCTGTAACGAAATGCAAAACACATTTTACAAGTAAGCCATTCCAACACCTTCCTGTCATCCACTTACAGGAGAAAATGAATACATTTAACTTTCAATGAACTGTGAATTTGTTGTTGAGTAAGCATTTTGAATATGAACATTTAGAGCTGTCTATATGGGTGTCAGAAATATAAAATTATTGTGAGATTTCTGGTTTCCCTTTGAATAAGACAAAAGATTTTAGAGGAGATGACAATTTCATATAAACTGCCTGATGCACTGCATAATATGTGGTAATATTTTAAACACGCTGCTGAAGTAGTCTCCAAAAACAAATTGAACTAGTGGAAGGAAAGTAACGGAAGTACATTTAAAATACCAAGTCAATGCTAACAATACTGCAGCAAGTGAATTCTTGCTGGTTATTATCCCCCTACAGAAAATATCCTAGCTTGTATTGTGTGACCTTGACATCCCCCATACCTGCAGACACTTAACCAGATCAAAGATGTAAGGATTAAACCAATTAAGCTGTTTAAATCTAATGTGCTTTTCCAACACTGGCTTATCACCTACTCCTCAAGCAGGAGACAGGCCATGGACAGTAATGTTAAAATAGGCAATGCCACCTGGTAATTCCCCAGACAGAGGGAAAAGGAATAGTGCATGGAAAATCCCACAACTCCAGCTGTCAAACAGAGCTGTTGGGAAGGAGTGGGAGTAACCAGCTCATGTGCTCTTTACTTCCTGTGACACAACAGACAGGATTTGGCAATACAATAAAGGTGCGTTTCTTTCTCACCTAATATTAACTTTCTAAAAGTTCAGTATACAATCTAAGTTAATTATCTATGCTCCCTCTGTAGTCACTGGAGAGAGAGGCATCGCTTCACATGGCAAGTCATCTCTCACTGTAGTAGTTGTCCAAGTGCTAGACAACTCCAGAGGTGAGTTGCTATAGTAGCTGTGGAGGGAATCTCAACAACTCATTTCAGCTAACTGAAGTTAGTTGAGATAAAACTCACTCTGAGAGATGTGTTTCTGCTAACGTAGGAACATGACTTCAAGCAGATAATGTTCCGAAATTTCTTTTGTCCCTATTTTTGATTATTCTACTTAAATTGCTCACAACTGCATGAAATGTGAGACTCAAAAAAACCCCAAAAAACCCCAAACAAACAAAAAAAAATCCCACCTATTTTAAATTTGCTTGTAAAAGTTAATACCATGTTTATATACATTCCAAGAACACACATTTAAATTATCAGACCCTCTATGTCCATCCACTAAAAGATAATGAATAACAAATTACTCAGATTTCCAGAACAGGTGGGCACAATAGTTGTGCCCTAGCTTTTGAGAGGAAAACCTGAAGAGAAAAACATTGTCATTATATGAGCAAATGAAGCATACAGAATGAGAAAGCTAACTCTCCTGAGGTACTTGTACATAAATCTTTCAACCATGAATATTGACACAGATGAAAAAGGAACTTTTCATCTGGAGACGTTTAAAACTGCAATTTTTTTTCTCACTATTTCTACAAAATTGTCTCTAAGAACCTTTTCCATCCCCAATTTCTGTCTCAAAAATATTCTTACTGTAAATAAATAACCAACCACAAAGCAAATAATTGCAATTAAAGAGAACTAATGACCGTTAAGAATACAACTCCTGCAATCTCTCTAACAGTTTAGGAGATGATACGATGATACTCCTCAAAACACTTTGCTTTCTCAAATATTTTTAATTTAAAAAATAAAATCATGCATCAATGTAAAATCTAGTCTTTCCTTTATGATTTTAATAATGCTGACTAAACCAATCCAAATCATAAACTGAATGAAAAGAAATGGATCTGCACTGATATACACAGTGCTGGCTGTAAGAAATGAAAATATGTGAACTCTATCAGACCCTCTCATTTATTTTACTCATGTGACCTGATAAGAGAACAGAATTATAGATAAGGGCTGACAATGTAACTGTCTTAATTGGCTGTTTCTTAAATACTAGTTGCTGGTGATGTTAATAACAAATAGCACTCATGTAATTCATTGAGCACCAATAGCTAATGTGTTTAGTTCTCCAGGACTGACAAGAATAAATATTTTCCTATCTGCTGTGTTAAATGAAGTGTAATATACAAATATAGCTTAATCAATAAAATTGAAAATGCCATTTTCAAATATATCGCTACATTTTCATCTTGACATACCAATCAATGGGTCCATTTCAATTGGAAGATGATGGGCTTGATCCAAAGAATATCCCGGGGCTCCCCGAAGTCCTACACATGAAAGGAAGAATAAAGCACATAGGAACCTTGTCTAAATTTTTATATGATTTTTCTAGGTTTGAAACTGCAATATTAGATTATTATATATAAAAAAGTAGCTTCTTACTATTACTTGTTCTATGAATCTTTTAAGATTTCTTCCTCTGTGCTACACAAATATGCATTTGTTAATTCTTCAGTTATGCAATAGTAGCTATAAATGTACCAGCACTAATTTCATCACTATTTCTGCAGTCACAAACATTCATTAAATAACACCTTTAAAATAGTGTAACAGAGATTTTTGATTTTTTTTTTTTTTTTTTTACATTTGGGCACCGGGTTAGATCTTACAATAGCACAGAGAAGAAAAATAATTAGATTAAACATTTTTATGAGTTTCTTATATATGGAAACCTGTAAGAGACAGAAAATTGGGCCTTTTCATGGATTTATCTAGAATTCTTAGCTGAGAAACTGTGGGCTACAGCAAATTTGCCACAATTATTCCTATTAGTTCTATCCTGAGCAGATCTTAAGCTGTTCAAATGGTCACCAGGGGCTGCATATTTAGTGTTGTCTGCTCTCATGCATGGACAGTACTGCTTTGGCTCTTCTGAGCACCTTCCCGAGCACAGAAACCACAATGGTCACTACCGAAAATACAACTTCTGTCAGGAACTGCCATGTTGACAATAATATCCCCCATAGGAGCAGATACAGACTTCTGGAGAATAAACTCCATTTTTTAGTACTGCAATAGGCAACCAGATGAAGTAAAAAACCCCAGGGTCTACAGCTGGCCCTGCCATCTTCTGAAAAACACTGCTCTAAGGACAACTTCTTCCCTCACTCTTTTTGCAGAACCAAACAACTCTGGGACAGATCTTTACTGGTATCAACTTAGATCCATGTGCTTCTATTGTAAGATGGCTATGTAAATGCTTTCTACTGTGTATAAAGTCTGAAACTCTATATACATCTCACAACAGTAAAAAAGTTGTCTGTGTATACATTTCTGTAGATGAACCTATTCATTATACTAGAGATGTGATTCATGAAAATAATATTATAGTAATAGTAGGAAGTTGATACCCTGTCCTGGATTAGCCTCTTGCAAAATAAAAGACATGGCCGGGCAGGATGTAGAAGTTAAGAAAATCTTTAGAATGACTATTAATTCTCCAAATTGTTTTCTTGTATCTTCCTGTTATAATATATTCAGAAAGTATCCCTGTCTTTGAAATTTACACCGGAGGTTTTCAAAGGGTGTGAAATTTAGTTCATGGTTGGTTCATGACATGAATTCTGCATGTTTGCAACTTATGTTTTACAAGATCAAGTTTTTTATGAAAAACTAAAACCTAGAACAGTCACATGCATTGTAAAGGCCAACACAACATCTACTAAACTAGAAGATTTCAAGTAACAGTTATGGAAACCCTTGAAATCCCAGATACTGCAATATTAGTGACCTTGACTCCCTCACCATAAAGTATGGGTAGGAATTTTGGCTTCCCTTCCCTTGACAATCTGGATGAGAAAGGGGTACATGAGTACTAAATAAGTCTTTTCAAATGGAGGAGACATGAATGATGATGAGTACAGAGTACTTGGGCAGGATCCCTGAAAAATCCAGGGAAACTAATTAGGAGTTAGTCAACTAATGTTAGTCAAAAGAATATTAAAATACCAGGGGACAGTTTCTGTACCTCTGAATCATTTCTGATATTGGGCTCTTCCATTGAGGACACTATCACAAAATACTTTTTTTTTTTAATGTTTTGTTTGGATTTTTTTCGCCTGAAATTTTTCTCTTTTTTTTAAAGAAATAGGAAAAACATTTTTACATCTAATGCAGTTGCACGGGGTGGAGGATCACAAATGCATGGACTTGTGAAAGGCATTAAGATATTTTGTTCTGTTCCTGTCATATTCTCTAAACTGCCATGAAAAGTTTGTTTGTAAAAAGAGAACAAGTACATTCTAAATACATGCAAAATTTAATATTCATGGTAACATTATTTAAATATTCAGTATAAAAGTAATATTAATCCTTACATTACTCTTCAAGAATTCAGAGTGATATTAACTACACTGGCTCTGATTATTCCCCTAATGCACGCCTATAGGGGAATTCCTGTTAATTCCTCCAATTATTGCCTTTAGCACCAGTTTTTGGCCAGCCTTGTGCACAAGAGGCTGAATGTCTTTCACCTGACTTGAATTATTCACTGAGGAGATGTTTACATTTAAGCCAGTGAAATCCCTAGGTAATCTAGAATTCCTTTATGTCTGCTGGAGGTAGACATTTCACCTAAATATCACAACTGCCTCTCCAGGAGGACCTACTTCTGTCCAGGGGCTTCTCCTGTGCATAAAGAGTAGGAGGTTTTTTCTTTTTTTCTCTAGTCACTACAAAGTTCCTACTGAGTCACACTCTCAAATATCAGGTACCTTTTTGTTTTCCCTGATGGTAATAAACCTTCAAAAGTGTCCAGACAGTGCAGCGTAAGGACCATCACAGCAGGAAGCTACCTTTGAAAATGAGACCTGTTCATTTCATCGTGTACCTCATGGCCCAACCACCTATTTTGCAATGCCTGTAACAACCTCAGCACCTACATGTCCTGATGAGGAGACAGGACAGTCCTAGCAGCAATATGGAGAGGCGAGTATAGAGGCTGGAAGGGAAATTTGAGGTGATTTTGTTGGATGGGTTTTTTTGGAGGCAATGAGGAAACTTCTCTTCAGAATTGTTCAGTGTTTGGCTGCTTAGGTTTGCTTAGGGTCCCACATTATCCAGCAGTGAACGAGGGAAAGGCTTATGACAAGCTCCTGGACAGACCTGAAATCTCTCACAAGCAGCAAACAGTGATGTATGCTCTCTAGCATGACAGTATGTATTCCTGAAACCTGGGACATATTAATATTGGCTGTGTCAAGAACGGCAGCAGTCTCCTCAAAAGCATTGTATCAAAGGCTGATCCTGATGTAACCACAAATCGATTGGCTGCCATGGTGATGTGCTGCTGTTAGGGAGAGTGTTTCTAGGAATGACACCAGAGAAAACACAAGCTTTGATTATTTGACACAAACCAGAAAAAACAGTATATTTTTGTGCACAGGCAGGTGAGTGAGATTAACCCACATGTAGCTAAATTGCACTGAAAAATTAAAACTGCACTGTTAAGGTCTTCAAATATGAATGAAACATGCCCATGAGAACCTACCTACTGTGTTGTGCCACCGATTGACGGCAAAGAGCCTGCTGCAAGTGACGGTCACCACGGCAGGGATAGTCAGGTGGGGCAGCGTGTTGGCTGCCACGTGTGTGACGGGGGAATTTGAGGGGAACTTCAGCACCATGATGACATCCTGCTGCATCTGATCTTTAAACATGAGGGGGCTCTGTGGAAGGAAACACTGTTGAGTAGAAAGGAGAAGAGAGCAGAAGAAAACAGAAGGGATAACACAATTAGTGAGGAGGTCTGAGGGAAAACAAGGTTAAAAAAGAGAAGGCAAGCATGTGCACATACAGGGAAAACAATGCTACCTGCACATCTACACTAGTGATGGAGGAGAGCAAGATCAGAAGCTAACATTGGATCATTACACGAGGAAAAGTAGAGAATAGGTATGGTAAGGGTTATCGTTACAGGGCACAAAATGATTGTTAGCATTAATTAATATACAGTAAAATGTAAAATTATACAGCAGTTAATATTCACACAATAGAGATATAAGTCAAAGAAAAGAGTTAACCAATACATCATAAATATAAATACTATAAACTACAATGATTGGAAAAGTAAATTTTAAGAGGGACTCAAAAACTCAGAGATATTTCATTCTTCTTAATGAATTCTTTGCATGACACACAGCACTTCCAAACACAGACAATTTAATTCTATGTCAAGCATACTCCTGTTAGGAAGTCTGTAGGTAATTATAAACCTGTTTGATGATTCTACAAGCGACACAGTTTTTTATATATGGACAATAATACTGTTATTAAGTACTGGATTTTTTTTTCAGTCACAGTTATAAAAAATATAATTATTTCTAGAAGTTCAAATAATCCTCTCTTATTATAAATTTAAATTATTACTAAAAATATATTATCCATACCTTAAGACTATAAAATAAATATGTATGTTTTGACATCTACACATTACTGAAAATAACACAGCTAACACTTCCAGATCAATTCCCACTTTCCCAGTGTACAGTGAGATAGAGTGATTTCTTTGTAGATAGATAAAATGATTGAAACTATTGTGTGTATTACTGCCGATTTACAGAACTTAAAAGAAAATATCTAGCTCTAAGCATTTAATCAAAGGCACCGGGGGCACAGAGATCCGTCTTGTTCAGTCTGGCTATTTCATATAATTCCTTGCAAGGAGGACAGAGAAGAATGTGTTGCGAATGAATTTTGGAGTTCAAATTGAAATTCAAAATATACATTATATTGTCTCGGGGGAACAGGCGGGAGGATTCCAGCACGATTTGAACTCCAATGCTTCATTTTAGTTAAGCAGACGTTGTTCATAAATCAGCCCCTAACAATGCATCCTTTAAATCAAAACAAAGCAACATGCTCACTCTAAGGAAAGCCTGCAGTCATTCCCACTACTTGCAGAAATAAGAATGTAAATATGTATTTATCAGGACTATATTCATGAAGATAGGGCCTTTTTATACAATATTCAACAGAAAAAGCAAGGATTATGAAGCTAAAGCTATTCAAACCTCCACCTTGCCCTGCTAGAGCACTGCGAGCTGTTGCTGCCAGGAGAAAGTATGGCTGCATGGGCAACCAAGGGTATTATAAAAGTGTTGCTTAATGGGTGCTTTATGACCTACAAAGGATCCTCAGGTTCAAAGGGAATGCATTCCCGGGCAGCAGTTTTGTCTCACCAGGTGCATGGCAGAGCTCCGAGGTGGATGGGGCTCAATGAGCAACTGCGATGGCGTCTGTCCAAAGTTCTGTATCTGCGCCTCCATGGCCTGCGGGCAAGGGAGAGGGACTGTCATGAGCAATATGCATCAAGGAGAGAGGTCAACACACTGTGTGACAATGCAGGCATATCCCAAGTCAGCCATGAAAAAAGTCCAGAAAATTCACCCGGTGCTCTCCTCCCAGGCTGCAGACTCATCCAAGTGTTAGTATTTTGTAGACAAGCTTTGCTTCTCCTTTCAAGCATGCTTCAGTTAACCAACTAACCATTCTCATTTCCAGTAACTGGCGTTATATGTGAAAATGTTAACCTGTGAGGACATGCAGTTCAGGTCTTGAGAGCGCTTTTTTTTTGCACTAAGAAGAACATATATACCTTAATAAAGTCCTTTGTAAGGAGGAAAGTATGAGGATCTCTAATAAAATAAGCCTCTGGAATCTTAAATGGAGGAGAGAAAAGCAAACTGAGAAAAAAAAATACATTTATAAACTATTAAAAATCCCAAAATAATTACTATTTCAACAACAACATTAGTAGGTCAAAACAAACAAACAAAAAAAAGCCAGAAACAAACCTTGCCAGGAACATTCAGACTGATGTAAAAATCTTCCAAAGTTGCATACATTCACAGAGTATTTATTTCATGCTTAATTTTATTGCATTTTCTCATGGCCTTTCAGGCTTCAGAGGTTTGAAATGAAAACTTAGCGATTTCAATGCATTCTTCAAGACTTAAATCTACTTTCAGAATAAATTTGGAGTAATTTGGTAAGGAATAGAATACAGCCCATATACTGAGATGGTCCTACTACTCAAACAGTTCATTCAAATAGAAATATATCTTTATATATATATTCTTAAAAACTTTGGCAGGAGATTGCTGCTTGTAAAAGCAATACTTTTAAAGAACACTCATTTTTCAGACAGGCACTATATTATTTGACCTTGTAAAATCAAGAATAAAGCATTCATAGAAAACTAAACTGGCAGATTTTGAAATGCATTGTGCATTATGTGTATATATATACTGCACCCTGCACTACTGACCCTTAATATTTCTCTTGCAAGCTTTATGAATTTTTTATTCACTAACCACAAGAAACATGAAAAGACACCAAAAAAATTACTATCATGGTAAATTACATTATTTCTTTGAGACACAGAAAGGTGAGCACAATAAATGCCTCATGATACAGAACAATCCTTTTAATCTAAATATTTTGTATTTCCTACAAGCCAATCTATGTTTTCCTATGCTTCACAGCAAAGACACAAGAACTGATGTTAGAGAGAGATTTCCTAACAGATCATTAAAGTCCACCACTCTTGATGCCCTGGATTGACAGGTATATAATGGAATACCACAAACAAGCATTTGTCAAAACAGAAACTTAATGCAAAGTCCAGTCAAGCAGCTGAAGGACTTTCAATGGATTGTAGCCTTAGCACATTTGATGCTGTAATTATCCTGGTACAGGTGAATTCTTCTTGTTTGTTGACTAATTCAGAGTGAACTTCAGTCTCCAAGGCACAGAGCGTTTCTTGGAAACTCATAAGCATCTCAGGTTATAGTAACATCAATTAATGATGAATTAATTTAAAATTATATAGTAATTTTATAGAAACCCAACGCATGTGTGGGCATATGCGTGTACATTTGTACATGCCTATACAACAGTTATCTATATATACCATACAAACAGTATCCCTTGACACACTGTGTAGATCCCTTCACTCATGCAGACAGTCTTTATGCAGGAACATAAAATTCACTTCAAGTCAAATCAAAGCTAGTATTTTCTATTACATTCAGTACTCTAGAACTGATGTATTTGGTGGGGAGAAGGGAAGGGAATTATTCTTGTTCATGAATCTCATTTTCAAAATGACAAAGACTAATATTAACAGTATGAGGCACTGCATGATATATGATTCTACACAGATCGGTCAATAATATTTTCAGAAAAGTAATTTCCATTTTTCTTTTTTCAAATAATTATCAAGGTTAATTTAATTTTAATTTTTGAAAGAATTCTGTGTTGAAATAAGAGTGTGAATGGTATTTGGCAGCAATAGTGAACAAAAAACAGATCTTCCTCTCCTACCCTTTACAGTGATCCTTTAAATGATATTTCTGTTCTCTCACAGACACATTAAAATGAATTATTATTTTTTTTTTCACTGAAGCCCAATTCTAATTTATATGTTTACTTACATCTTGTCCGGTCTTGGCTAATTCTGATTAATTCTAATTTCTGGCTGTAAATTCTGCACATACAAAGTTTACTGGCTTGGCCTCCCAGTTCAGGTGGATTTATGACAGTAACAGAGTAAGAGAAAACAAGTAGAATACCATAATAAACCAGCATGATATTTTTTCAGATTATGTGGAATGGACACTTAAAACGCAACTGTCAAAAGCAACTGTTATTTTACAGTTGAAGATGTCCTGGTAAATACTCACATACTTTACACTCCCATAATTTTAAAACATTTAAGTCAATGATGAGTCCTTCTGTAACCAGAACAAATACAGAATCAAGACCTTGATGTTCAGGGGATATTGAATAGTTTTGCTGGCTTGCACTTACAAGAAAACCACCTCTCCCCCACCCCAGGATGGTAATTTTTTTCTTTCAAATACACCGTTCGTAAAACTGACAACTCTTAGAAGAATTAAAAAAACTGAACAATGTTTCTTAAAAAAATAACCGTAATATTCAACTACTACACTGAGAACTATAGTCTGCACAATGCCACAGCTGTGCACAGCTACAACTGGTATTCCTCTCTGGAGCACACAACACTTAAAAAGGACAGAAAAACCTTGTCAAAACTTAACACAGAAGATAAACATAAGCATACAGAGATAAAGTGACTGGCCCAAGGGTATTCCTAATGCTGCCTCCTATCAGATCACTTGACACAAAATGAAAAGCAGGTACAGAACAGATCTGTGAATAATAATGTAATATATTGATTTGTTTACAAGAGAACTCTGGCTGTATCTGAAATTAATCTGAAAACTGGTAAATGTACACCACAGTGTTTTCTTGAACTGTAAATCATCAAACTTTAGATTTATTTAATGGTCTTAAACATTTTGTTCTAATAATTCAATTCCTTTTCTCCCATCATATCTTGAGGACTGTGTGCAAAGTGCTACACCAACCCCTGAGACACAAATTCAAGTCATTTTAATACAAATTTTAATAAAATAAAATTTATTCTCATTTCACCCTCAAATGTCCTTTGTGTAGAAACAATATAAGCTTGGAATTCAGTGTCTGCCAGATTTAACGCTTTTGGAACAACAAAATGGCAATTATATTAGTTTTCACTTTCTTAATAAGGTGTTGCAGAAAAGCTGTTTAGTAGGCTGATTTCAGATTCCCTACTGTTTTTAATACAAATAAAATGAGATTTGTACTCCAGACACTTCAGGGAGTATCTGTTAGGATATGATCATGTATTGCAGAATAAGACAGCATATTATTTGATAATGATAGGTCAGAACAAGGAAAGAAAAAATATTTGCAAACTTGCTGGCTATTCAAAGTTTAAAATTACTTGATCTCACACTTTCTAATTTATATAATCAAGCAAAACACAACTTCATAGCACTTAATATTGGCCATCTAACAATAACATAGAAATATTTATATTGTATGTTTACATACATTTTGGTCAAGAAATCAATATATCAAATCATTTCATTTTATGAATGACACTAATCTTAGACACAGTGAGCAATATCCTCAATGTATTTTTCTCAAAGGAAATAAATTATTGGGTTGAAATTTTTATGCTTAAAGGCAGACTACACATTCACAAGGACACTAGGAAGCTCCTCTTCAAGCCGGAGGATAAGTCCTCAGTGTCAGCTTCCTGCAGAATGAAAGGTTCAGTGCATCTGCTCTGCTCATTATGCAGTCTACTGACCTATTTGGGGTTTATTTCATAATTCTGGTTGAAAGAAATACAAATCTGTCATTAAATTATTCAAGCAATCTGTATCTTTAGGTATAAGAACTATATATAGCGGTAAAAGGCAATGCCTCCAGCTGTAAGCAGTGTATAGGAGCAGAGCTGCAGAGCAAAAGAGCTGTCTTAGAATAGGATGTGTTTTTTCCATTGGAAGGGACTTACAATGATCATTTAGTTCAACTGCCTGACTGCTGACCAAAAGTTAAAACATAACATTAAGGGCATTTTCCAAATGTCTCGTAAAGACTGATAGGCTTGGGGCATTGACCACCTGTCTAGGAAGCCTGTTCCAGTGTTTGACCACGCTCTCAATAAAGAAATGTTTCTTCACATCAAGTCTAAACTTGCCCTGATGCAAATTTGAACCATTCCCACATGTCCTGTCATTGGATACCAGGGAGAAGAGATCAGCACCACCTTCCGCTTGAGGAACCCATGCTGAAACCATGCCCACTGCTGGGTTTTCCCACCAGGCTGGCGCCAGCATGGGCTGCAGATGCCAAGAGTGGCTGAGCTCTGCTACCTGCATCCCTGTAACACACTGCTTCTGTGGCTTAGGAGCCAGTTCACACACTCTAAAACAGCTCTGCAGTGTGATTGAAAGCATGGCAAATAGGGCTGATCAGCAGATTCATGTCAGAAGCACAGTCGTAATCCAAATGAAAATGCTAGTATTGATTCATCAGAAACATCACAGAAGTCAGTGTTTTATTTGCTCCTTGACATACCTTTGCAAAAAAGGGTAAGCATGGAGCAGTTTATTTTTAAATACTTTTTTTTTTTTTCAAAAAAAGTTCCTTCAAAATACAGGTAAAATCATCAAGGAAGATATTAATGGTCCATCTCATTTGCAAAATCCCCTTTACTGAGAGAGATACCAGGTGACTACAGAACACAGTAAATATAAAAGCTCAAGCACTTTTAGTTTGAATCATGGAGGGAAGAAATCCCTAAAAACAGACTGCATTGCAGATAGTAAGAACGTTTTTTATTCTTCTATTAAGTGGCCTTGTTTTATTCATGTTCCCTGATTACTATCATAACCTGTTAAAGTTTCTA